CGCATTGTTCATTGGCCAAGACAAAAAACTCTTGCCCAATTATAAGTCTCCTATCGCTATAGCCAATAAGAAATTCTCACACCAACCCCCCCTCCCCCCCTGCACATGTGCTGTAGACGCTTAAGAAGCCAACACAGGTATGGAGCACTGCGTGATGGGTGGTCAGACATTCTCTGTGAGAGGTAAACAACAAATGGCGACAATTGACTGACCAAATCAAATTTTTACTTTTACTTTTATCCTCTTCACCACTGATCGGCTCTTTAGCCGCTTGGGAGATCGGTCACGTCTCTGTTACGCACTGTTGACAAGTACTGGGCATGCACCGGCTCCTGAATGTACCTGAACCTGCTCCATTGTTGGTCAAGTCTTGTCTTGAAAGAGCTCACACTCGGTGCCGTCACAACACTTTCTGGTAGATTGTTCCAAGAGTTCACAAACACTCATTCCGAAAAAGTTTTCCCTCACAGTTTTCTGGACTTGCGGCTTCTTCAATCTTGAGCTGTGACCCCTTGTGGGGCGAGCGTCTGCCAGCTCCAAGTAAGGACACTCGACTGAGTAGTGCCCCTTGAGATGCTAATACACCTCAATTAGGTCACCCCTTGCCCGTCTGTAGTATAAGCTAGGCAAGTTCAGGCGCCCCAATCTCTCAGGGTAGCTGAGGTGCCAAAGTGCAGGCACCAGTCTGGTGGCCCTCCTTTGAACATTTTCAACCAACTGACAGTCCATAGCATATCTCGGGGACCAGACGGGGTGACAGTACTCCAGATGGGGAAGCACTTCACTCTTGAAGATCGTTACGAGGGACGGACAGTCTAGATATCTGAACGACCTTTTTATAAGACCCAATAATTTATTTGCCTGATTTACCTTCAAGAAAAATTAATATATCGGTTATCCTTAATTTCCAGCGGATATATCACAGAAGAAAAGGGTCTTAGAATTGTATAAACATTACATAAAATATATTAATAACAGCGAGAGAAATACCGGTGCAAGATCGAAAATTCACCCTTAATAACAAGTCCAGTACATTTTACAACTCTGCGAATATTTACCCAACACTGTTGTAATTCTTCGCCATTTTTCATTTTGGCCAGCAACCGTAATAACTTTAAAAGCACGCAAACTGGCTGTTTCTTTTCCAATGAAATTTCTACCCTTGTGAAATATCTATCCCCTTCCCAACAGTATCAATAAAACGGGGTAAAATGTAAGTGCCAGCTAGCAATATCCTTAATATTTTACTCTACATATACTTATAATCAACCAGCAACAGCTAAAATCACCTACCGCCACCTGTAAGTCGATATTTTGAGCAATGAATTGGGTCCCCTGGCGTTTGTTTATAAATGCCCAGATCGGATGAGGAGTTGTAACTTGTGGGTCTGTCACTTGCCGCGCCTGCGCAGTATAGCACCGGATTGGTATTTCGCATAAATGGTCTCACCGAGTCCCCCACACATAGGCCAATGGACTAAATCTATAATTTTTAACTGGCAACTTTTCAATGTATGTCTATAATGGAAAACATGTACTGTACAGTATTTCAGAAGGATTTAGTCAGCAGCTTAGCATTTTATCCTTTTCTCTCATGCGTTAGAAATTAAAGAAAACCTAATATCCAAGATTGGAAGGGTGACTTTATTAATTGAGTTTCGGTGAAATTCCAACTTCGTAAGACGAAATTCACGATTTTTTCCCTACTTTATTTTATCCGCTTCGCCACTGATCAGCCTGTTAGCCACTTGGGCGGTTGGTCACGTCTCCGTTACTGTTACTTAGTTCACGACAAAACCAGGCCAAGGTGAAAATATTACAAGGGAAATTACGACGGGATGAGGGAGGAGATGAGGGGTATCCACTGGCCTGACTCACAAAGGCATAAGAACGCAGACACGCTGCTGAATATAATAGCGAGTAAAATTAACCATTTGATCGATAAATATATACCCAAGACCAAACCCAGTGCCTCTAGGAATACAACGGGACCCCTACATATGAACTGCGGTGGTCGACAAAGCTAAGAAGAAAACCCAGAAATTCAAGGAGTAGGTTAAGTCAAACGATGAGCATGACAGGAGGATGTATGCAAGAGCCAGGAACCAAGCTAAGTCAGAGTGTAGAAGGACTGAAAAGGAGTTCCAGAAGCTGGTTGTAAGCGAGGTCAGATCAAACCCAAAGGCGTTTTATCGCTATGCAAAGTCTAAACTAAAAAGGCGAGTAGGAGTATCGGGCCTGAGGCTTGAAGATGGTAGTTACGCAAATTCTGACCAGGACAAAGCTGAGGCATTGAACAGCTTCTTTTCCTCTGTGTTCACAAGAGAGGATGCGATTAACCTTCCTGCGTTTGAGGACAGACGGTTCGACACAGCACTGACCCACATTGTGTTCACAGAAGAGGGTATTAGAAATAAACTGTCCAGGCTAAAGGTCCATAAGAGTCCTGGACCTGACATGGTGCATCCTAGAGTCTAAGAGAGTTGTGCAACGAGCTTTCTGAGCCCCTGAAGATGCCTGGATGAACAAAAGGTCCCCAGTGATTGGAAAATGGCTTATGTGACACCTATCTTCAAGAAGGGAGATCATCACTCCACGAACAACTATAGACCGGAGATCCTAACCAGCACAGTATATAAAGTACTTGAGAGCAGTATAAGAGATGCCATGAAACAACACTGTAAAGGATTGCCAACACGGTTTTATGCCGGGGCGCTCCTGCTTAGCACAAATACTCAAGGTACTGGATATTTAGACCCATACTCTGTAACAGGGTGGTAATATCGACAATATATACCTAGATTTTGCCAAGGCTTTGACAGTGTACCCCATGAAAGACTGAAAATTAAAGTGGAAGGGTACGGGATTCGGGGAAATGTCCTAGCGTGATTAATGGCATGAAATCATCATGTGTACCCGTCACAAGCGGGCCCGCTGTTGTTTGTTTGCTTCATAAATGACATGCCTGACGCTGTACATTCCTCCATACAAATGTTTGAGGATGACGCTAAGTTATTTCGGGAATTAAGAACCAAGCAGACTGTGAAGAGCTGCAGAAGGATCTCTGTGAGCTCCAAGAATGGTTGAAGAAATGGCTGTTAAGATTCAATGTCACGAAGTGTAAGAGGATGCACCAACGGTAAGAAGGCGTATCATATGTCCCAACGGGTCGAAGAAACTACATTAATTGAGGCTGAATGTGAAAAGGACCTATGTGTGTATGTTGACAATGAGCTGAAGTTCTCGGGCCATTGCGAGAAGGAGGTAAATCAAGCAACTAAACTATTAGGTTTTATTAGAAGGTCGTTCAGATATCTAGACGGTCCGCCCCTCGTAGCGATCTTCAGGAGTGAAGTGCTTCCCCATCTGGAGTACTGTCATCCCGTCTGGTCCCTGAAATATGCTAGGGACTGTCAGTTGATTGAACATGTCCAAAGGAGGGCCACCAGGCTGGTATCTGCACAACGGCACCTCAGCTACCCTGAGAGATTGGAGCGCCTGAACTCGCCTAGCTTATACTACACACGGGCAAGGGGAGACCGAATTGAGGTTGTATTGGCATCTCAAGGGGCACTACTCAGTCAAGTGCCCTCACCTGGAGCTGGCGGATGCTCGCCCCGCAAGGGGTTACAGCTCAAGGTTGAAAAAGCCGCAAGCCCAGAAAACCGTGAGGGGTAACATTTTCGGAGTGAGAGCTGTAAACTCTTGGAACAATCTGCCAGAGAGTGTTGTGAGCTCTTTCAAGACCAGACTTGACAAGCACTGGGGTAGGTTCAGATACATTCAGGAGCCAGTGCATGCCCAGTACTTGCCAACAGTGCATAACAGAGACGTGACAGATCGCCCAAACGGCTAACGAGCCGATCAGTGGTGAAGAGGATAAAGTAAAAAGTAAAAGTATAAAGTACTGACATATAGAAGAGCTTCATATAGTTAATGACTGAATAAAATGGGAAACTCATTACTGTACAAGTATTAACACAACGTGTATCACCAAAAACCCTTCCAAAACACAAGGTGAAGCAAAATTACTGTAGTGTGAAAACTTCTAGTCATATTATACCTGTATACAATTATATGGTAAGCGATCAGCGTAATATTAGTCTATTGGTCCGTGTTCGATCTCTAGGCAGACTGAGTGGGTTTCCGTGTTAGTTCTGGTTAAAGAGGTGGGATGAAAAGCCTCGACTCGTGTGACTACACCAACCTGACAGGCATCAGGCCTAGCAGGGAGCCTCTTCCGTGTGTGGGAAAAGTGTTATGTTACATGTCTTCAGAAAGATTAAAGTAGGTCCCATTTCTCAAAATGGGTGAGCGTTACTATACGAATAATTACATACCTGGGAAGTTTACCTTCATAGTATGTAAAATGCGAGAGTTTTTGAAGGACTGTCAGCACGGATTTATGCCCTGACACAAGTGCTGGAGGCACTGTGTGAATGGTCACAGATTTTAGAACTTGGTGGCTTATTGGTTATATATTCCGTAACTTGGCAAAGGCATATACTGTGTGTATGAGAGTGTACCCCACGAAATGTAAGTGATATGTCATAGTATTTTCATTCCTCCAGGTAAAAAAGTCAATGAAGCCTCTTTGTATAAATGACAATGAAGAAATATAGGGTTACCCCCCCCCCCCCGCCGAGATTTATAGTCAGATATGTAAAATAAACTTCATGTCTTTGGCTCCACTAGATTCATAGATGTGTGTGTGTGTGTGTAAGTGGTGTTAAGGCTGCATGTAACAGGTTACTCTTTTTGACTTATTCATAAGTTCTCTCTCCAGTAAATGTCAAATCGAATTAATATATACTTTTATGGTGATTGTTCTTAATGAACACTGTTTCTTTTATAACCACCATTGTATTATCAGTTTTTATTGTACGTTATCATAAACATCGTCTTTAACATTTTTTAATAAAGACTATTATGATTTTTCTGACTGACATCATCAACTGACACTTCTGCCGTGATGAAGGACAGGAATGAAACAACAGAAATTAGTTCTTTCATTTATATTATCTCAAAAATAGGAAAAGTGGGAACAGCAGATGAGACAGGCGATTATAGGACCTCTTGAGGGGCCCGTGTAAGACCTGCACTGGGTCTTGATGGGACCTCCGGAAAGGACTGTTCAAAAGACCCCCCTGACGGGCCGGGTACATCTACAAAATGACTCTGATATCACAAGTGTGGACAATCCGAAAGGGGCGAGGGTGAATGGAAGGAAGAGGAGGAAGGGAATTTTGGGGTAATAGAGGAGGAGGAAACTGGTTATATATATATATATATATATATATATATATATATATATATATATATATATATATATATATATATATATATATATATATATATATATATATATATATATATATATGTATGTGTGTGTGTGTGTGTGTGTGTGTGTGAGGTAGAAGAAGTAAGGAAGAGGAAGCATTAGGTAGGAATGGGTTGGGGGAAATAGTCATTGTACATAATAATGCAAAACAATTGAGGTCTGACTGACCTCTCTACAAGTACACGTATTTCTCTCTATGACTCTTTGTTTTTATCCTAAGGTGCACTATAAATTGTTTTGTTGGTCCAATGATTGTGAGATCAGTGACATTTTTCTTTTTTAAATTTATCCAAATCCATGAAAAAATAAGTTATTTTTTTAATACACTAGCGTGAGTGAACCTTGTTGGGAAAGGAGCCCCTACAGGCTATAGGCATTGTATCCAAAAACACTTTCTTCACTGTAAGATGAATAACATAACGCATTTTATGACAACAAGAGGAATTTTATTCAACATGTAGGCGTTAACAATCATATGAACACTTATACACTCAATATGATGATCAGTTATGACTCAACACACCAAAAAAACAAACCAGGTTTTGCCCTTTTGAATTCTCAGATGATATGACGTCATTAAGACACTTGGACCGTTCAGACGCGAAAATAGTAGTATACATAGTCGGGCACTTAGGCTGAAAATCCTTCCTTAGCTCTAAGGATACTCAGCCTCAATAAAAATTCGTTTTTTTTTTATCTTCACACCCAACTAGAAACAAATGTAGACAGACAAACAGACGCTGCCACCCACACAGCGAACGTAGCACAAAAAATTGCGGTGAAAATAAATTCTTAAAAAATTCTCTTAGACAGCTTAACCACTTCCGTGTCGCTGGAACTATTATATACAATCAATATCGAGGTTGGACAGAAAAATAAATTACTTTACTCACATACATATGATCTGAAGACAATGATTATGCTCAACGCGACAGGACCATGTATGTTTGAAGCATCTCCAACTAGGATTACTCTATATATTATACTATTATTCTTAAAAACAGATGGTAACCCACATGTAAGGCTAGAATAGGTTCTGCATGACTGGTAACATTGTCGGTACGGGCACAGACCAGCCTCGAGTCGCCGAGCACTGATATCCACAATGTTGGATTCATTTACAACAGGAACTTCACCCACCAATGTCGGATGATCTTGGATCCACCTACGAAAGGGTGATTTTATACTTAAAAGACTAATTATATTGTCTTTCGGCATAAGGTGGCTGGGCTGTGCGAACGCCATAGTCACTGCAACGATCGGTGCGTGTATATATATATATTTGCTATATAATATTTATATATATATATATATATATATATATATATATATATATATATATATATATATATATATATAGAACAAAGATAACTCTATAAGCGGACGTCACATAAAGGTGAGGCCAGGTAGAGACGGCAGTAGAAAATATGGATACTTGCACAAGATCGTTTCAGTGACATCACGGCAACCGCAATTCACGGGGAAGAGAGAATGGCATGACAACGTCCCGCCTTTGTTTGGTTGCTTGGCCAGCAGGCTGTCTTAATGTTAGGTTGTTTCTATATAGGATATCGGATAAAGCACCAATTTTTTCACATTTACAAATGTTTTCTGTCATCAACACTGATAAATACGATTTATATCAACTTCCACGACACTATTGACACAGAGAACTTGTTTTCGCCCACTTCTGGCCAAAGCACTTTGGAGGGGCGAGACTACAGCCTTCTCTCTTCCAGGTTATTGCTACGAAGAAGCTCAAGGCAAAAATATATACTATACACACATTATCAGATGACCTAAATACCCTTCCAAGACCTCACTACTATTAAAATTGTCATGGATTGCAGACCTTGTCATTCCTTCTGGCCGAGACATGACCAAACCATCAGCAAACACAAGTATGCAAGAAGCACGACTTTGGCCGCACTTCTTGCACTCACTGCAGGCCACCTGCTCGTGTGTGCAGGTATGTGTGTGTGTGTGTGTGAACAGTTTGTGATGAAACATTAAAATGCTACCACAGACGTAAATAAGGTATAAACTGAACAATAACTCTTGGATTGTCATTCAAAAACAATTACACAACAAGAGACCTTATTGGACACCAATATCTTTGGAATTCCGTTGTTACTTGGGGATTCATTACACTTTCTTTGGACATGCAGATAGGTATCGTTTCCACCAGCATATGTCGTGTGGCTGGGGTAGAGGCGTTGTGGAATCATACATATGGCTTATCTCGTACTGTTGCTTTATGGAAACTATAGTGATGGGAGTAAACGTAAGATCAAAACGCATGGGGAGAGAGACCCCGGTCCATCTCCTCAACGCCCTCACCAAGAGCTGGGCAGTCAGGAGCGGTGACGTTGGTGTCTACTGGACCAGGACCCACTTCCCCGCACATGGATTGGATTCAGTGGACGTTACGTTGAAGAAATTGTAAACACTGAATATATGACACGAAATGACACATAATACTGACTAAAACATAAAAGGCAAAACAGTGACCAGACAACGTTAAAACTGGGACACCATATAGGCTTGCAGCCGTAACGACAATAGACTCTCTTTAGCAGGGTTACAGACGGGCGCCGCGCTCAGGCTACAGGTACTCAGAACTTCCACAGGAAAAATTAGTTCTAGCAGCACGTTGGGGGACTTGAAACCCTTCTATGTAACTCCCAGCTAGACCAAAAAAGCGTTAGTAGGTCGGTTACTCTAGAGTATTATCACCGGGGCAAGACAGTCAACGACACAGAGCAGCTTAGAAAACAAAACTTGGCAACCATCGCCCCTAAAGAGGAGGAATCACGTCCTAGTGAATGAGGCCTCAAGGTCCTCTTACTGACGAAGAGCGGCTATCACCTCTCATGTTGCCGGTAAAAAGGGCAGTCCAAGTAACCGTGCACACCGGTTAGTAAAGAAATGCGATCTAAAACTATCGTCTAGTTTCCTGATGGAATGCTATAGTGGCAGCACCATGAAGGTTAGAGCTAATGAGTTGTACGCGGGATTTCCAGTATAAAAAATATCAATCCATGACACCCTAATCATATATATTATATTCCTTACAAACTTGCAACAGAGACCACTTGACTAAGTAGTATTACGGAGGCAAGAGAGCCCACAGGAGCACAAGGTTCAGGAGGCTTGCTGGCACGTAAGCCACAACGTCACCAGCAGCCAAGGAACTCGTTCATTACCGATTCTTTGTTGTGTGTTGGTACTACTGCTCACGGTTGCTGGGACTGGGCCTTGTCATGACGCGTACCTACAGGTACCTGTATAATACGCCTTGTTGCGACTCAAGGAGCGTAAATCAGTATTTATCTACAAGGTTTTGTACAGTCACCTATGCACAAGGTAAGGCCGAAAATATTATATTTCAGACTATCCTAGTTTGACTTAAAAGTAATTACAAAAATACGTAATCAAGCTTTACTGAGCTCAAAGTATAAACAATATTCTCATTACTCATCCTTCAAAATCTTTTTTTTTATTATTTTCCATTAAATCACAGAATGACTAGTTTGTCAAGGCGTTCCGCCAAAGTGACAAGTCTCACACACGCACCACCGAGTGCTCTCTCGTACTCGCCTGGCGCCTCTTGTCTACCATCCAACCATCTTATTTTACCGATTATTAAAAATAATATTGTTTTTATATTTTAATAAAAGTCTGTAAACGAACTGTGTGTGTGTGCATGCGCTGCCCCTTCATCATTATGTGCGAGCTACAAACACAATGCACTTTTATGCAGGTTCAACGAGGATCACCCGTCGAGGATCACCCGTCGAGGATCACCCGTCGAGGGAGAGACAGAGCTTGAGGGAGGAAGTCGTCTTTTCCTGGTTGAGGTCTCTTGCTGAGGAACACCCAAAATGCTGGGGTGGATTTGGTATAGAGGGCGTGTGCGTGTGGGCAGTGGTGGCTGCTCCTGGCGGGGGGAGACGAGGTCTTGGGGTCTGGGGTCAGAGACAAAACTGACGAGCCACCACCTGCTCCTGTATCAGGGCCACGGCTCCAGGTCAGCCGAGGCCCCACAGCTTCATCTGGAGGTCAACCACGGGGGTGCAGCGACGGGTAGGAAGCTTGGTGAGCCCATGGCAGTAAGGTGAAGACTCAGAGGATTCTTATTAATTCAGAAGGGAAGGCTGGAGACGAACATGTTCTCTATGAGCTGAGGGGCAGGGACCAGATCCTCCAATTTGAGGTAGAAGATCCGCTGGAGTCCCTGTACGGAGAGGGACCGCAGCTCGGGCAGCTTGCCGAGGATGCGAGAGAAGTAGTGAGGCTTCTTCTGCGCCTCCGCATTGTAGGTGACGTGGTCTCTCAGAGAGCTGATGATTTTCATTTGTAGCTGTTCCACCTTCTTGGTGTCCTTGAGTCCATGTCGCTCTGTGGGAAAAGGTCGAGCATTAGTAACCCAAAAAGTAGGGTGGTATAAAAGGGTGTATGGGAAAGTATAGGCACAGCAAGAAAAAGAGAAAGAAGTAATGATACGTTCAATGTACAATCAAAGACAAAAGTCGTGTCGCGGTTTTGTCCGAAGATTAAATATAACTCGTGAAACATTATGAGAGCCCCTACCACAAGGCAGAGCGCACCAAAAGTTTAGCCCTTGGGCATATGTTTTCACCAAATTTCATGACACGACTTTTGTCTTTCATTGTACATCACTCAGCGATCCTGTGGCACCTGGAGACGGAATGGAAGAGGTGGGGAGGCGGCTGTGTACAATAAATATTGAAAGGCGTTTCATTCATTTTGTACATAAACACGTTATTACAAGCTGCAACATTAATTACCTGTAATGATTGTCAGCGCTGAGAGACAAGCAAATGCAGATATATCCAGATCCATTGCTTTTAGTGAGGCAGAAAAGTCGAGAATCCCTTGTAGCCACTCCCCAAAAGATCGGTCGCACTGGGACCGATGAAGCACTCGACCGCTGTCGAACACGAACTTAGTGTCATCTGGATTGTTCCTGCAGGAAGGAGAGTTGATGTTAGCATCATCATTCCTAATAATGTGATTTGATGTCGAAAGACAAACATGTGTAACAGTGTATAGACCTTTCTCTCTCATCACACTTCATGATACTGTATTGTTAAATATTCATAAGCAATATATAGATAAATGCTGGGATATATAAAAGACAACTACTTACACAAGTCTGTATGCAACTCTTAACACAAAGAGTTCGAGAGATGCTGATTGGAATAGAAGGTCTTGGTCCTCTCGTGCCAGATCATGATAACCTGGAATCTTCTCCGCGAAGTGTCGGATGACCTCAATGCTGGATGTTAGTAAAGAGTAGAACTGCTGAATTCTCTCCGCCTCCGTGGAGGGAGATTCAGCGCCATTGGAAGGTTCCCTGTACTGCGAGTAGTCGAGGTTGGAAACATCAGGGGTAGTGTCGACATGAGCTCTCACCAAGGCCGTGATTAGCGACACAGGCGGTGATGGGGGCGACTCCTGTGGGCTCTTGGGCTTACTTGGCAGGCGGCCCCGTCGACCTTTCAAACTGTCAGTCCTGACAACTTCCTTCACCATACCCACGACCAGACACTTCTGAAATCGACAGAACTGGCAACGATTGCGACGTCGCTTGTCAACAGGACAATTCTTGTCAGCAAGACACACATACTTGGCATTTTTCTGGACGGTACGCTTAAAAAATCCTTTGCAGCCTTCACAGGTACGAACACCATAGTGTTGGCAAGCAGCAGTGTCGCCGCAAACCGCACACAATTGTGCTGGCGACTGTGGCTTCTGCTCCGACCCCGGGCGGCAGGCAGCCATAGGGGGAGCGTGAAGCCGCATCATGCCCGGGTCAATGTGTTCACCGGGTCCTTTGCGGGCAAGGAAAGACATGGGTGGTGTGCCGGAGGTGGAGGCTGCGCCCATTTCAGTGTAATGGTGGGATGTAGATGGTCGAAGGTAATGCTCAGGGTGAAGGGGCTGGAGAGCATCATAGGTGGGAGCAGCGGGGTAGAACTCGCTGCTGAATGCCTTGGATGGACCACTATAGGCGTGGCTGACGGGCACGGAAGGGCTTGGATAAGGCGCTGGCCGAGAGTACACTTGTGACGCATGAGAGTATGGCTCGAAAGGCGCTGATGGTTGTTGCTGCTGTTGTTGTTGTTGTGAGAGTTGAGCCTGTTGTTGTAGCTGTGGTTGTTGCTGCTGGTGTTGTGGGGAAGCCTGAGCGAAGGCCTGGTGGGCTGGTGGAGGCTGTGGGTATTCTACAGGTCTTCCTTCGTCAGTCTTAAACGTGAAAACTTCAGTAGAGCCCAGCGGTCTGTACCGCGGAGAGTAAGTTTCCTGGAAGCTAGGCAGAGCCGCGGCAGCAGCTGCTGCGGCTGATATGGTAGTGGAGGCTGCATGACCTGGGGAGCCTGGTGGTGGTGTTCCCGAGTGTGGGTGTGTGATGACAGGCTTAAGGTCTTCCAGGGGCGGCGCCGCAAGTAGGTACTCAGCCTGGAAGACTTCGCTGAAGGGAGTTTCGCTGCCACCTTCACCGTAGATGGGGGCAGGAGTTGCTGTGAATGCTGACCCTAACTTGAACTCATCACCGGTTGTCCCGCTGAGGGAGTCATCACCGAAGGTTGCGGTATATGACGCTGACAGGGCCTCAGCCACACTTGGGTGGAGGAGCGACTGCTGTGGAGAGAGAGAGAGGAGGACATTAGTGGGGAACAGAGAATATCTTATACACACTCCTACACAGATCATGCGTAAACATGCAATGACACCGAGAGAAAAAGAGAAGAGGATACAGAGGGGTGCGAGCAAGAGCAGACATGAGCATATTAATATGCGGCAGTAGTAGCAGCAGCAGCAGCAGCAGCTGTCATGCAGTGTGCGGTTGCGGCATGAGGAAACCCCAGCAGCCGCGGGCGTAACACGCGGCGCTGTGGCTGGTCGCCACCTACACTGTGCCGCAGGACAGTGGGTGCGGGCGTGGGTAGTGCGTACCGGCTCTGGCGACGCGGCAACGCTGCTGGTGCCCTCTAGTCGATCCTCGGAGGTGACCAGGGTGGCCATGACAGGAGGAGTGGTCGCCTCGCTGGTCAGCAGGACGGGCGTGACGGTGATGGGTGTGGAGGTGGAGGGCGAGAGGGTGGAGACCACCACCAGGGCCTGGGAGGTGGAGATGCTGAGGTTGACGGGGAGGAGCGTAGCCAGAGAGTGTGGCGGCGAGGGCGACCTGCTGGGCGGCTTGTCCTCCATGTTGTGGTCAGGGGTGGTGTGGCAGCGGTAGTCCAGTTCACGCCCCATCAGTGCTGGCCTGCAGCTGCTCGGCCACACCCACGTCAGTGATAGGGGTGAGTGGGCGGCAGTGAGCGGGAGCGTGGCGGCGGTGGGTGGGGAGCGAGACGCCCACGCCACGCCCACGGTCTAGGCCACACGGTAAACTGCTGGTTCAACACTCCGCTGCGTCGCCCCACTTCAAAAGGATTATTGATACATGTTGTTGTGGACATTGGTTAGCGAGTGAGCCAATATATATCTTTAATGTATCAAGTTTTGTGTTTCTCGAGGTCTTCGTTACAAAGAATTTATTATTTCTTATGAAAAACAGAATTTACTTTAATAATTCTAACTACAAACATTTTCAAAATCACTGACTGTTCATGAAAACCTTTTAAACATAATTATCAAAATTGTTTACTTAAAACTTTTGAGAAAAGGTAAAAATTATTAGTTATACTTCTCTCATAATATTTTTCACTGAAAAGTAATAACACGAAAAGTGAACTAAGGGCTGAGAAGCGGTGTGGTGTGTCAGCGGCGGTGCGTACGTGGGGGGCGACGCCTACTGCTGCCACGCCTTCCGAAGACCCGCGCTAGTGCTACCCAGGGGCAGCCACGCTGTTCCTCATCCTCTCTCTCATCATCAAAGTACACACACACACACACACACACACACACACACACACACACATACACTCTTACACTCAATTCTCTCATACCCATCCATACAGACTCTTCCCCCTCCCATATACAACCACACAAACTCTCTCTCTCTCTCTTTCTCTCTCTCTCTTTGTTGTGTCTATATTTATCCCAGTAATCTGCTTATTCCTCCTCCGACTCTCTATGTAACCACCTCTCTTTATCTCTTCTCGCCATCCTTCTATCCATTCCTCCACTTTTTTCTCTCTTTAAGTACATTCTGTCATTACCAATTTTCCTTACGTCTTTTCGAGTTCATGTTTCTTTTGAATTTTACTCTCTCTCTCTCTCTCTCTCTCTCTCTCTCTCTCTCTCTCTCTTTCTCTCTCTCTCTTTCTCCTCCTCCATCTCCTTGCTCACTCCCAGTGTAGTGACCTAATATCATCTGCACGGTGACTACTGCGTCGACCAACCCAACACACTACAGGATCTGCTTGCATGCATGCAACTGGGAGCCGTGAACGTAAATAAAATATGAAGGAATCAGGAAAGGAAGGAAGATAAAAGCATGAGAGGTAATAAAATTAAAATAAATAAATAAACAGCAACAAAACTATAATGATGATGATGATGATACTGGTGGTAGTGGTGGTAGTGGTGGTGGTGGTGGTGATAGTAGTAGTGGTAATGGTAATAGCTTGTAGTGGTGGGGGTGGCAGAGGGAGGGTTTGGTGGTTAAAGCGAGACCATAGTGAGTATGAAGAAAGGTAACAACCAAAACAAATAAAACGGGTAAGTGTGTGTGTGTGTGTGTGTGTGTGTGTGTGTGCTCTCACACGCACACCATTCGAAGAGGAGCGCAGCAACAAGGAAGAGGAATTTTGAGGGAATTAAAGCTTGTTAATAGTGAGGCAAGGGGTAGGGGGGGGCATGGGAGGGAGTGAGGGAGGGTAACGGTATAAGGGAGAAGGAAGGCAGAACTAAATTCACTCTCCAAATGACAACTTTATACTTCCTTCAATAAATAATTTCAAATTCATTACTCTCTTGTTTACTCTCTGCCAATATACACGATTATTCTCCTAACATTTGACAACTACACAACAACTTTTCCTTCTAATCTCTCACAAATGAAGTTATTTAAACAAAAAGTGAACTACGGCATTAATAATGAAATACTGCTTACTGTATCTTGACTTGTAGGATATGGGGGAAAGAGGAGAGGGAAGGGGTTGGTGGGAGGGGGTGTGTGGGGGGAGGGGGGAGAGGTCTCAGGCTCAGGTACTCCCCCTCCTGGTCTCCACAGCACCAAGGTTTGTTGTTTTTTTTTTGGCGTGCATGGCCGCTTCTTATGACAGGATATAAATAAACGGATACGTGGTCAAGCAAATCAATAAGACAGATAATGTCCTTCCCTAGTTGTCTCATCTAGCTAGGAGGAAAATATGTCTCATCCTGACACTTATAACTAATTCAGGAAGGATAATGTGTCTTTATGTCTAATATGAACCAACCGGGATGATAATGTACTGTACTGGTTATATCTCAAACATTCTTATATTTAATCTTTTTGGGTGATAATATATTGTAGTAAATAAACAGGCTTTTATTTTCTCTCTCGTATTTATAACTAATCCAATAAGATTAAAACTAGCTCACTACTCCAGAAAGGACAATAATAACTATCCCTAATATTTCAACTAAGTTACTTGGATGATAGTATCACTTATCCCTAACATTGATAAAGTATTAATACCTTACTATTAATAAAGTATCAAATATAATTGGTAACTTTAGTAACACCTCACTAATGTTCCTCTCACCTATTAATTATGTTGTAGGAAACACAACTCTATGTCCAATATTTCTTAACTAACTGATAAAATAATTTATGGATTCCTTTAATTGATATATATATATATATATATATATATATATATATATATATATATATATATATATATATATATATATATATATATATATATATATATATATATATCATCTCCTAATATCAAGACTAATCGGCTTTAAGCTATAGTAAGTTACTGAAGGTATTCAACAAAATAATAAATATCAAATGATTAATCTACCGCCCCATCCCTATTCCCTTTCGTAGGTACGGTCATCTGGGACTACGGCAAGTAGGGGATAACAGGGATTGACGTCATTGTCTGACATCATCAAACAGAGCGTGTGACCTCATGACCGGAAGCTCTATGAGCCCTCGCTGGCCAGTCGCTCTAATCAAGCTCCTATTGAGTAACTGGTGAATGAGAATTTGAGTGTTCATCGATGGCAGTGGAAAGAGGCGGCGTGGAAGATGCTTTGTTGGAATGTTCAACCTCCATTACGAGGGCGGGTCGTGATTTACTGAAGTTAGGTGAGGGCCCAGGAGCCTCACGGAGAGCGGTGTACAAGACGGGTCACCGTGGCGTGGGAGGGATAGGTGGGCGTGGGAGGAGTAGGTGGGTGTGGGAGGGGTAGGTGGGCGTGGGAGGGTGGGAGGGGTAGGTGGGCGGGAGGGGTAGGTGGGCGTGGGAGGGTAGGTGGGCGTGGGAGGGGTAGGTGGGCGGGGGCGTGGAAGGGGTAGGTGGGCGTGGAAGGGGTAGGTGGGCGTGGAAGGGGTAGGTGGACGGGGAAGGTGGGCTTGGGAGATGTAGATGGGCGTGGGCGGGGTAGGTGGACGGGGTAGGTGGGCATGGGAGGGGTAGGTGGGTCGTGAAGGTGAGGTAAGAGGCGCGGGGAGACAGGGAGGAGGTGGGGTGGAGCTCTCTCTTCACCTCACGACAGTGTCCACTTTTTCTCGAGGGTGAGTCCTGCCAGCTCACCCGCCCCCAGTAATTGGCAGACGTCGGCTGAAAGCACCAACCCAACTACCTGTTTGATCCTCACTATCCACTCCTCTTTATCAAAATGCTATCTTTTTTTCCTGGCCCGTCCACTCAAGCGTTTCACCTGGGACAATATCAACGCCGGTATCACACAACTAGTGTTATTCCATCAAATATATAACACAAAGATAACGTACTCAGTTTAGCCATCATTTATCTTATGGACTCTGAAAAAATCATTTATCCTCAACGCATAAATATGCAGGGTAAGAACTCTTTTTTTACCAACAGCCGAGGACATGGGAGTACTGGGTGCAGGTGACCACTCCGGGCGGATACCATCAGCTTAACGGACAATGAATGTATTGTAAAGAGACTTCGCATTTTGCCCCCTTCCTTTTACCGCCTCGATATTAATTTCGATCAATGATTTGCAAGAAAGTGATAATTGCTGTTTTACCGAGTACCCGGTCGGAGGCGTACGGGTGCCCACTAGAGCCCTCTTACGCCTCCACAACACCGCTCACCTCCGTTCATTCCCCGATAACCTGTCCGCCTCACTCACCAGTATACAATCATAAATCGCAAAGTCATTGCATTTATCCACGACGGTAAATATGCCTCGTATTACTGGGGTCATAAAAAACAATTGATGTACGACGAGAACAACGGTGGCAGGCGAGAGAAAGGGTCAAGTAGGAGGCGGTGTCCGTTGTGGGCGCACTAAACATTGTGAGACGAGTCAGTGGCGGCGCTGTGGTCGGCCGTCCGCAGCCACAATAAGAGTGTGACCCTTGATGCCCTCGCCTGATACGCTCAGGCTACTCATTACTGATCCTACAAGATAGAGGCAGCCACACAAAAAATTGACCTCCTTTGCATTGCAGTTCCTTCTTACTTATCCGCAGCCGTTGATAATTAACAATGCCGAGTACCAAATGGTGTAGGTGTTCAACAGAACCCCTGTGACGGGCGATTGAGAGAACAGAAACATTCTCACATCCCTCCCGCAGCTACGAGGGCGACGCCCGGGCGGCACCAACACCTGCACACGGCCCCACCCGCCTCCCCGCACTGTGACACTAGGCGCATCAAGCAGATTTTCCACTTTGCTCCGTGTTGTCACTTTCATTGGCACTAGGCCATGGAGAACCACACCCAGTGCCGAGCAAGCAGTGCCTGCACCCCCCACCTCCCTCACCCAACACACACCCTTCACTCGGCTGGCTGGAGCCTCAAGGTCTGGCGAGAGAGGTACTTCACGCTCACAGCCCCTTGTCCTACATCCGATAGAAACTGCGTTCTTGCGAAAAGAAAAGGAATGAGAATACCACTCCTGGAGTCCGTAAACAAATTCTGGTTATCCGTTCCATATTTCATGAGTTCGCGGGAAAATTCCGATAATCCAACTGAGAAACCCTAAGCAGCCGTCATCAAATCATAAACGTCTGGAGCCCACTAACTTCCCCTTCAAATTCCGTGATTCCAGATGACCGAATAACTGTCTATTACTCTGAATAACTAAACTAAAACCCTTTATCCTAAATCTAACTCGTGGGTGCCAGGTCAAGGAGAGAGTTGAGTCACTACACGACACTGCCAACACTGGTGCCTTCTACTCGCCCTGTAATACTGGTGCTAAATTTGACCAATTCTACTTTACTACAAGTCCAAAACTACTTCTTTTCATTAACTCATTCGTTCTATTTGTGATAACTAAACCCACTTACCATTTTAATCCGTCTATAAGTCAGTGGTACCATACAGGGTTATGGCTTTCATTGGTTACATTACAATACCAAGAATCTTGAAATGACTGCAAAGTATTTATATTATATGAACCTTATTAGTTCCACAGCGAACACCTTGTACTTCCCCAGCTGACCTGTAGACAGGACTCAACGGGTGGGATGTGCCAGTGGCCAAGTTGTGACGTCAGAGTGACGACACCGAGCAAGTGATGACGTCAGAGTGATGCTTACCTGTGGCTGGAGGACGAGCATGTTATGGGCGTGGCTGTGGGGCGGTGTGAAGGAGGGGTGGGGCACGGCAGGCGTGTCGTCGGGGGCGAGGGGGCTTTCTTGCGTCACGTCCACGCCTGCAAAACACAATACCCGTTATATACAACGCTATAAAAAGTTATGAATACACAGAAATAAAGCAGCTTAGTGAGATATAAAAGACGTGTAGGAATATTAACATATAGGAGAACATCTAGACGTAGTTTTAAATAGCAAATATAGTGACAAATGGTGAAGCATTTATCAAGAAAAAGTAACAATACTTGGAGGCAAATCTGAGAGGTGACGAGAGTAAAGACATTTAACATAGAATAAATAGTACATAAAGTTAGTAGAGTGCAAGAGTAGTTTTCTAGGAAGAAGAGTGTATGATGCATTCAACATGATAAATCAAAGCTTATTCACAAATTACTTTACGAAAAAACACAGATACATATATCACAACATAATTAAGATATTACAGAACAACTAGACACTTGTAACATATGGAAAATTTTTCAAATATATCATTATTATATACAAATTTAATGAAGAAAAATCTAAGTGAATTCTATATCTACTACAATAAAACATTACTAAATACAGTTCCTGTAAATGGACATAATTAAAGATTATTATCAATAATCGAGAACAAAACAAATATATTCACTTAAAATATGGAAATATTAATACTTTGGTGCGGAAATGAGTAAAAAAAAAAAGTTATTGTTCAATCACGTGAAGGAAACTTTTTATCTCCTAATTCATACATCAGAAGTGGAAGCGGAAGACAGCATCCCACCAAGGTCGGCTTACCAGCTGACACCATAACAAGTCTCGAACACGTCCCCCAAAATCACCTGATTAACCACGCCAAGGACCGAACAATCAACAAAGAGGTCAGGTGAGTAAGTGAACCTTGCCCAGAAGGTCAGGCCTGGAGGACGCCCACACCTTGCGGACTGAAACTCAGGTGGTCACGGATTATGTGTGAACAACGCCCCGGGAGCTGGAAATGATTCTCCAGGTCACGAATTGCACTTCAATACAGTGTTAGCAGCTGAAACTCGTCTCGACTGTCATGGAATGGTGAGATGAGGACTCCTGACGCTGAAACTCAACTGACACGTCACGAGTTATCAACAAGACATCGCTGGCGGGACTTACCCAAAAGATCGCGAAGAAGACGGTCGATCTCCGGGTGTGGTTGGGGAGACTCAGGCCAAGGGAGCGTGACGACACACTTCCCTCCTGGCCAGACCATACCATCACTACTGAACCAACTACATCATTACCTCGTTAACTATGACGTGACTCTCTCAACTATTTTGTGACGTCACTACCGTGGATGTGAATAGTGATAAGAGAGGTATCTTGGCAACGTTATCTAAGGCGATAAGAAAGTTCGAAAATATAATATGAAGACGGACTATTTTATTTATCACTTTGTGCGTATATTTTCTCTTCTCTTGCCAGTCGTAACTTCCTGAGACTCTGTATGATACTGGCACATAATTTTTCTCCCCTTCCAAGTAAACGTTTTCCCCATGACACAAATACCTCACATTAGCGCTCGAGTCAGCACCTCCCAACAACTCCTTTATCAGCACGTGACGTTATCAGCGCGTGACGTGTTATCAGCAGAGACAAAGTCCAGGTAGGCAACAGCTATCAGTACGACTAACTTCTTAACTTGTTATCGTGAGAGGTATGAGATACATAAACGTCCACACGTCAGCGAGATAGAAACGTGGGTTATTTCATCAGGGTCTCGTGGTCAATGTGTGGGAGGAATTGAAGGTTTGCTGTTGGTGGTCGTTGGGAAACACTGCGGCTACCTGAAACTGTCCAGGTTTACAAGGTTGTTAGTGAATGGATTTACAAATACTGAAAGGCTCTTGATAAAAACATTACAGACCTAATAAAAGTCACTGATACACTTATAACCACTGAAGTTATTAAGGGGAGTCACAGAAGAGGTACAAACAGCAACAGAAGTATCAGAGGACACCAACACTTGCCACAAACGACTTGAATTTCATAATGATACGTTTCCACCCACACAGGTGTTGCCACTTTACGTTAATTACTAACACCACAGTGAGGAAATAGACCTTGTAATTTGCATGATGATCAAACACAAAACTCATCGGTTAAAAAGCAATAAAACCCTCACGTATCTTTATCGATCTAACTTTGTCTCAATTTTTTTTTCTCGATCATCTGAAGATCAGCCACATAGCTTCCCTCACCTGTACTACCCGGAGGTTTAGGTCAGTTTATGTTATATTATGTTACGTTACGTTATTGTTATATTTTGTTATGATGAAGTTAAGTTAGGCTGGCATTCGGGTGTTAAATCTTAAGGTGCTATAAGCTCGGGGGTTAAATTCAAGTTGATCCATTTTTTTTAGTAAATCAAAAGTGCTGCGGATAAACCGTAGACTTTTCCTCGTTTGTTCACAGTAAAAAAAAAGAAGTGGGTGTAAAGCTTGGAGGGGAAGTGACCGGTTGAGTTAAATCGAATAAAGAGACGACGATAATATGGTTTTTACATGGCGTCCATAAGAATTAATAATTTAAACAATATGAAACTTTTTGGTGTTGCATCAAACACCTACATCCAGCACACACCTGTCTCTACACATTCCTGTCTCCAGCACGCACCTGTCTCCAGCACACACCTGTATCCAGCACGCACCTGTCTCCAGCACACACCTGTCTCCAACACACGTCTCCAACAAGCACCTGTCTCCAACACGCACCTGAACAAACTTACCCTCAAGGTTCATGGCAAACAGTTGGTTGTACTGCCCCAGGTGGAAGGTGACGCAGGGGATCATTGAGACTTAGGCAGGTAGGTCCTCCTAACGTTAATTATCTCCCCGAGTCACCAAGTTACGTCTTGGAGAGTTCAACACCTCGACACGATGACGTTGCTTTTATTTAGGTCACAGTGAAGCTCGACTCTGGTGTACAAAGCTTTTTTAAAATGAAGGACAAATCTTTTTTTTTTGACAAATTCGTTATTATATATGGTATTCAAAGCTTTTCTTTAACCGAGTTCTACTTTTGGATAATGCTTTTGGGGATGAGATAAGCTTTTTTGTTTTTACGGCCTTAAGGTATTTGGTAGTGTAAAGCCTTTGTTTTAGGCTTAACTGCGCACAAATTTAGGCTTCATACTATGTTCAGGGTTACACTATATCATGTGCTAATTAGGCTTTTGATTAAACTGATGCCTTGGTTACAAATCACGGCGGCCAATATAATTAAGCCAATACAATCATCTCGTCTATACAATACAAATAAAATGGTTAAGTTCATCTCACGGCTGGGCTTCACATTGTGTCGATTTAATCAAAATATTTGTGTATAAATATTTTTGTATACTTTTTTTTTTACATAGTATGGCTTACAGTATTCGTTTTCGACGCTACTCACGCTCTAAATAAGTGAAGCTAACAAGAGTTCATCCACTCGGGACTACACACAAAGAGTTACAAATTACACGACACCGTTCAAATTTGTTTCAGTAATACATCAACTGCTGACGAGTGAAACCACACATACATACACACACACAAACACATACATACATACACACACATATACTGTACACTATTTATATTTCAGGAACATCTGCCAAGTCCAGTGATCCACCATGGCTGCGAGGACACCTGTACACCTGCTTCACACCTACCGGCGACTCAGAACTATAATTTGCTATTTAAACCTGTCCCCAGACGTTTACTGCAGTTTAACCACCTCATAATATTATCAAAAATTTCCTTCGAGGGCGTGAAGCAATTTGAGCTGAAGAACAATGTTGGTCGAACGGTAATCTGAGTCTGTGTACAGCACCCGCCCGTCTTTCCAATGACTATATCACGGCTGTTGTGTATCACCCCAGTGAGCCTGGCAGTAACCTGGAGCTGCGACTCCTATACGACACACACCCTTCGCCGCCGACACACGCGAGCGTTTGACGTCCTCACGCCAGGCTCCCTCCTATAAAAGGTGACGGCAGGACCCTTGGGACCCTAGCATAAATTTGCTGGCATTTCGCGGCTGCTTGTTTTAATTTGTTGACGAGATATTAGTGCAGCAGTTTTGTTGTGGTGTGCGGGCGCGCGCTTTGTTCCCGCCCAGGGCTGCGCGACCCACCCGTCCCACTGGCCTAAGGCACGTTCCTCCAAGCTTCGGACGGTAGCACAAAAGACTGTTTATGACTATATGTTGTTAAATCCTTATATTCCTTTAGTCGTCGCGTTGTCTGTTACTTTATCTAATTGATGCCGCTGCTATATCATTAAAAAACCTGACACAGTATCTATATCACGGATTAAAGTGAAACAAACTGCCGACAGTAGAAAAAATGTCTCAGCATCCTAAAAAAATATAAAGTTTTACTATATATCTCAAGTGGTGAGATAAAATGCCGCAGTGGCCGCTGGGCCCTGGCAGCACGGCAGGGGTGGCCAGCGTCGTCCGGGTGTCCTCTCCATCAACCGGTGTGAGCGAAAGTCGGCGAGACTGGCCAACCGGTTAGGGTGTGTCGGCTGCCTCAGGGAATACCCGGCCGAATCAGCTCGTTACGCGCTGGTGCCCGCTACCCCACTACTCCCACTAGTTTATTGTATCAAAGTCTTCCTGGGCTTCAGTCTCTCGCCTCTTTGTCCACAAAAACACAGGAATAACGAGTAAAATTCCGGTTGAAGGAAATCCGATCTTAAAAGGAAGAGGATCCAACCCGAAGATGATAGATGACTGGGGGGTTCAGTGTAGCGGGGTTGGGGCGCGATCATATCGTCTATTGAGGGTTTATTGTGCCTATTGTTGAGGGTGTCTCATCCTTGTTGACTCCACACAATAATGCCAGCACCATTAAAACGGCGGGGAAAGGTAACCCACATTTTATTAGGTGAAACTGTAGAGTGGCTGGGGGGGCCCTCTCGACCATTTGTATCTTTATTATTAAACGACACAAGATGTGAGAGAGAGAGAGAGAGAGAGAGAGAGAGAGAGAGAGAGTCTATGTCAGACAAGTTAGCTAGAAGATACCTTAGTAATACAGTGCAGCAGAAGTGAGCACAAC